ATGCTGACCGGAGCAGCGGGATCACGGATATCAGCGGCGAGGAGTCCAAGCTCTATTCAGAGAAGATGTCCCGCTGGGCCAAGGATGTCCTCACGGCGCTGCACGACGACAGTCTCTGGATTGCAGTCCGAGTCTCCACTTGTATCCGGGGCCCGCTTGATCACCTTTTGCATTTTCTTCAGAAGGGCCGATCGGTTGGGAGCGAGGTGCAGAATCTCGGTTTGCTCGTGTATGGCGAAGCTGCCAGGATTGGACGCGGATTTGACGACATGTTGTCTTCGGACTTCCCCGACGTGATGACCGGGGTGCCGCCGGAGAGTCGTGCCGCGGTCAGTCGGTGCATGCGGCGCGGTGTATTAGCTGCAGCAAGTAATTACGATTTTCGCATCGTCCGCCCCTGCTCAGAATGCCCGCTGAAGCTCCTCCTCCTCTGCAAGTCGCCCGCCGACAAGTGCTGCCGCGAGAGGGCCGAGGTGGCCCGGGAGTTGCTGGGCGGCAACCCTGATGAGCTGCACGTCGCCGCTGCCGCGGTGAAGCGCTTATTCCCGGCGGAGCTCCAGGCAGTGGTGGGCAAGTAATCGCACGCCCCCGCCTGACTTTAGTTTAATGGATGGATGGAGGGATGGATGGACGGATGGATGGATGGATGGATGAGGCCACTGGAGGTGGAGGCCGCCTGGAAGTCCTTGCGCAGATGCACCGGGGCCCAGGAACGCGGGGCGGTGCCCCAGGTGCCCCAGGCGGAATGGCCTCCGGAAAAATGGAAAGGGTGGGGGAGGGGGGGAGGAGGAGAAGAGGCGAGGAGGAGAGGAGCTGAGGAGGGGTGTCCCTGGGCCCAGGACGGCAGGAGCGGGGGGGGGGCGGAGCGGCGCCCGCCCCGCCCCGTCGCGCAGGCCGCCGCCGACCCGGACAACGGCGCGCTGTCGATGTGCCTCTGGGGCCCGCTCCGCGCCGTGGCGGAGAGGTGGCGCGGGGGCACGCAGGAGATCGAGGGCATCAACAACATCATACAGGAGGGGAGGGGCGGGCTGGGTTGTGGCCGGGTCGCTGGTGTTCGCTCGCAGTGCGTTTTGGCGATGGTGTAATTGTGTACCCTTGACTCACAGATACAGGATCTCAAGGTCTCAAGGTCTCAAGGGTCCCTTGAGACCTTGAGATCCTGTATCTTTCTCCCCGGGCCCATCGGGCCTCGGTGCCGCAGTCTGAGCGGCGAGCGGCGAGTCGACGGCTCGACCCGGCTCGACGACTCGACGGCCTCTGCACCTGCGGCCCAACCCCCGGACTTGTTCGGCCGCAGTTGATCCCCGTCGGGGCCCTGGCCTTTCGACTCCCTGTAGCCCGTGGCCCCTGGCTCGGAACGCGGGCGGAGGGGAGGTGGCGTGCGCCCGGGCCCCGCGCATCACGCTGGCGCTCCTGGACGCCAGAGTGGCGCTGCGCAAGGAGTTCGGGCTGGGGACGAAGGCCAACGGCCGCATGAAGTGGTCGCAGGTGGCGCCGCTGCTAGAGAGCATCGTGGACGACTCTATCCACTTCGCGAAGGAGATCCGGCATGTGCTCGGCAGTCAGCTGCGCTGGCAGGCGCTCGGGCAAAGCCGGAGCAACGGAGCAGGAGGTGAAGGAGGAGGAGAAGTGAAGGATGAGGAGGAGACGGAGGAGGAGGAGCAGATAGAGACTCGAGAGGAGAGAGAAAGAGAGAGAGAGAGAGAGAGAGAGAGAGAGAGAGAGAGAGAGAGAGAGTAGAGAGAGAGAGAGAGAGAGAGAGAGAGAGAGCGAGAGAGAGAGAGAGAGAGAGAGAGAGAGAGATACTTAGCGCCGAAGGCAAAAAGACAAAGACAGAGGAGGGCCCCAGATGGCCCGTCGGCGGATTTGAATCACGTCCGCCATCTTTCGCATCTTTCGCCCCCCCCCTGCGACCCTGCGACGCCGCGAGGGCCGAGAGAAAGATGGTTTCAAAACATCACGTTTTGTTTCCCAGCGCTCGCAGGGGGGGGGAGGGCGAAATTGCAGACTTGATTCAAATCCATCTTGGCCCCTTAGCCTATCCCTCGCTCCGGCCCCAGCTCCAGGGACTCCAGGGGCCAGCTCCATCCCAGCTTTCCGGCCGCTCAGGCTCAGTGCCTCCGCAGTCTTACTCTCTCTCTCTCTCTCTCTCTCTCTCTCCCTCTCTCTCGCTCTCTCTCCCTCTCCCTCTCTCTCTCTCTCTTTCTCTCCCTCTCTCTCCCTTTCTCTCCCTCTCTCTCCCTCCCTTCTTCGCCCGTCGTCTTGCCGTCTTGTCCGGCGGTCTGGAATGGCGGGCGGGAGGGGGGAGGGTTGCGCCGGCGGCCCCCGACTGCCTCGCCAGGCGCCGCCCGAGCAGCTGGACGACATCGTCGCGGCGCCCAGGCGCCCAGCAGGGGCCGTCGAGACGAGGGAGATGAAGAGTTGGGTCACCTCGTACAATCAATTGTGGTACTGGACTGCGTCGTCATCTCGAACGGCCAGTCCGAGCTCCGGAACGGCAGGGTCTGTTCTTCTCTTCGCTGGTGAAGAGGACACGGGGGATGACCTGGTGGCCTGGCTGTGCGTGTTCCAGTACGGGTACGTGGGCTGCTTCGTGAGAGTCAAGGTGACCCCGCCCGATGATGGAGGGCCCGGTGAGTTGGAGCTGCTTGTGCCGGTGCAGCATTGTACTTCTCGCAATTTGTTCAAGAGGTATTTCCATGATGCTCGCACAGTCGATGGTTGGAATCGCCTGGTGTGTCTTGGGTTTGTTGACATGTCCGAGATCGAATGCGCCGGAGTTCATGGTGATCACGCCCAGAGGCGCATGGTCGCAAGCCTGCCGTTGACTGGAGAGCGCGGGATGCTCGACCTCTGCGTCATGACGTGCAAGAACGCCCCACCTGCAGAAGGGAAGAAGAGGCCGCGCCAGCAGAGACCAGCTGTGGCCATCGAGGACGGGGCCGCCGACGACGGCGACGATGACGATGACCTCTTTGCGCTCGATGCCGACATGACCCTCGTCGGCGAGGCCGACGCCGCTGGCGACCCTGTGGTTGACGACGATGCTGGCGCACTAGACGCAGCTGGGACTCACGGTGATATGTCAAAGTCTGCCACTGCCCTTGGCGACAAGGATTTCATGGACAGGTTCAGCGCCATCTACGCTCGAATGTTCCCAGATGCTGCTGGTGGCGACCCTGCCTCAGATGACCCTGCGGCGGACGCCCGCGTCGCCGGCGGGGTCGGGGCTGCCAAGGAGTTGCTCGACGCAGCGGTCGAGGTCGAGGACGCCACGGGGGTCGCGATCACCGACGTTGCCGACGGGCCCGTGCCGGGGACGCCGCAAGTGGACCCTGACATTGAGGACTGTCTCACCACCGATCCACCTCTCCTTGTCTCCGCCCCCTCCGAGCTCATTTCTCTGTCTCCTCTCTCATGCGACTCTCTCTTCTCATCCTCCTCTCCTCCGCCGCTTGACATCGTCTCGCCTCGACTCGGCGCCGTCGATCGAGCGACGAGTCGTCGAGTGGCATCGTCGAATCGTCGTCTTCTGCGTCGTCGTCGTCGTCGTGAGTCGTCGGTCGTCGGAGTCGTCGGACCGACGACCGACGGCGCGACGACGACAACGACGGAGAAACTCAGGCTCGACGGAGAAGAAGGCGACTCTCGACGAGTTGGCCCGAGTCGGGTGTTCAATGCTTCAATGCACGTCGTGGCACGTCGTTCGCTGCTGACTGTCATCGTCGCTGGCATCGTCGAATCGTCGTCGCGTCGCAGGGGTCCGTTCGTTCTGGATCCTACCTCGGCCTCAGCCTCGCTCCGTCGTCGTTCCGCCCCGTCGCTGCGCCGTCGTCGCCCATCAGTGGCGCGCGAGCCTTGGACAGCCAACGGGCCAACGGGCGAGGGGCCGCCCAGTGCCGCCCAGCCAGCTGCGCCGCCGCGCCACCTGGCCGGGCGGAGGAGTGGTTCGGTCTGGGGTGGGTCGAGTCGGGCAGGACCGCGGAGGAGCCCAGGGGGGCGCCCAGAGAGAATCGCAAAATATTACATCGGTCAATATGAGTCACTATCCTGGAACACCATTGTCTATTATTCAAGTTATGTGCTTCAGCTAAGGTTCCCTAAGGTTCCCGTAGCGTTGGCCCTTCGCGTGGGCCTAGATTCCAGGCAATTGCGGTGCAACAATGTGCAAGAGGCGCCATCACCATCACTGTCTTTTACCGATGTGCCAAACGGTATTGTGGTTCTTCCAGACACTGCCAGACACTGCGTTCCTTCCAGTCCCCTCCTCACAAGCCCTTCGGACCCTTGAAGCTTTAAGCTTGCCCGCACCTTCTATTCTACTAGGGGGATAGTAAGCCGGGGCGGGTGAGTTGCACAGGTTTCTCCCAGGTTCCTCTTACGAACGCCACTACTAGCTGTAATTTAACATCAGAGTTACTCTCACTCAAGAAATTAGTGTAAGCATATCGAGTCTCATCTCCTCCGCGCGTCAGCAGGCTGCTGCCTGGGCTGCGTGGCGCAACGAGGACCCGTCCATCAGCGAGGAGGGCGCCCGGCTCGGCGCGAGACTCTTCGTGGAGCGCTACGCCGCAGTGATTCGCCAGCCGCTCGCCAGCCTGCGCGCCGCCAACGGCAGCAACCTTTCGATCATACAGTACGACGAAGGCGGGGCGGGTTCGTTGAGGGGCATGATGTCATCATGATGTTTCGGGCTGAGCGTTGAGACAAGCTCGTGTCTCGCGGTCTCGGGCCCCACTGCGCGAGCGTTGCGCGGCGGGCGCAATCGCGCAGTCGTGAGCTGACGTGATGCCGGGGCCCTGGATTCCAGAATGCCACATATCTGACATCTGACTGAGATTAGACTCTGTTTGAGGAGTAAGAATGGAAGAATGGCGATCAGGATGCAGGATGATGACGCGAGGTTGAGGGGTTGAGGGGGTGCGGAGCTGAAGTGGACATTGGAGAGGGGAGGCGTCGACGGGCGCGACGTCCCGTCGCTGGCGGTCGTCAACTGGTGGGACTCGGACGCGCGGCGCGGCCAGATCGTCAGGCTGGACGGCGACAAGGTCGTGTACAGCGTGTCCGGGTTCAGGCTCAGCGACGGCAGTCGCCCTTTCCGGCCTAGAGAGTTTAGGAATTGCGTGCTGGTGTACCCTGACATCGGCACCCCCATGGTTAAAGTTTCGAAATTCAGCGCTGCCGCGCCCCGCATGCCCACCAACCATCTAATGCTGTTCAGGCGGTGGGGGGCGTACTTGTCTTTTTCGCAGTCATGTCTGCATCCTTGTAAGTGGTGCCTGTCAACTTTGAGGCTGGAGGACACTCTCAAGTGTCCACTGTGCATGCTGCCATTTCATTCTGAGTGCGCCCACGCTGCCGTCCGCAACCTTCCTCGGGATCTGGACTTGGAGCCCGTCGGAGAATTTGCCTCGTTCGGGCTGCCTTTTCCGGACGGGCTCGATTGCGTGTGTGCCTTGTGCAGGTGGTGGGTCCAGCGTCAGTCTGGATGGGTGGCCCCGCCTGCGAACGGGTGACAGCGCCAGCAACTGCCCCGTCACCCCGTCTTCTTTTCGCCCGCCCCCAGCCGCGACCCCGC